CACACGATCTCGGTTTTCCTACTTACAATATTTTATGCTGACAAGGGCAACACTTTGCAATGTTAGTGAGATTATACTTTTGGCTATTTACTAATTGGTAATTACCGCGGGGCTTGTTACATTTATAATGGTGGAATTCTAGAAAAGATGAGTTGTAGAACTAGCATTGTAAAGAAATATCTTGAATGAATGATACAAGGTAAGATCGAAGACTAAAATTTCATTCTATCACGATGCATAAAAGTATAACATTTAGTTAACTTATGCACAATTATTCGGGTTGAAAGTCAAGACTCACCAGTTTTGACCGATGGTTCTTCAGCCGCGTGTGTGTGAACTCTAAACTACTGCGCGGCTCCTCTTTGGGCAGCTTTGAGGGATCAGGCAAGGAGCCATGATCACTGTCGTCTGACCTAGGACCGCGACTAGTATTACCACTGCTGCCGCTGCCCCGGGCGCTAAAAAAGCGACCCATCATGCTATGTGCTATTTTATGCCGCTTTTTTAAGCTCTGATCCAAAGCAAAAGTAAAATTTCCGCAAACTCCCCCTCCGGCTTCTAGAAAAGGAAGAACAGTTGCAAGCACGTTAGGCTTGGAGACAACAACCGCTCTAGAGGAGGACGGTGTCGACAGTCCAGAGGATTGTGTACCAGGAGCGCCCGGATCCCCTGCAACTCGAGCAGATGGATGAGCCACAGAGGTTACTGAGTACCATAGATGTCGCTTTCCACCTCCGCCACCACTAATATGAGTGGCAGCGGTCCGACCGGATGTCGCCTGAGCTGAAGACGAAGGTTCAGCTCCACCCCCAGCGCCAGACCCGGGGTCAAGACCTCCTACAGCTGCCAAGTTCACAGAAGGTGATAGTTGTGTAGAAGAGGGCCCAGAGAAGTTTGTGGTGACCGCGAGAGGAGTAAGCAGCGAAATAGCGGCTGCCGGGCTTAGCGAGCCGGCTGAGATTGTATGAGCGTGAGGAGGCAGATCAGTGGTATGAGCACATACAGCACCAGCACAAACATCACTACTTGACTCATCTCCGTGGCTGGTTGATTCAGGGACAGATCCTTCGCCTTGACTCACTTTTCGTGAGTCGGACCTGCTACAGTCCATGTGGTCTGTGATTTGAAGCTGGCGTCGGTGCACTGATTGCTGCTCTGATTTAGTCCGAGCTCGCCCATCGCTAATTCCACGTAAACCACTGCCCCCGCCAGCAGTGGCGCGGGCTGTGATAAAACTTTCCATAAAAAAGTGACGAAATCGAGAAGGTACAGAGACAATGGAGGTGTTGCTGTTACCAATACTACCAACCAACTTGTGTGATGCCACCAAATGGACGTCACGAGTAGGTGGTGAGGAAGACGATGAGGTCTGTAGGTAAACTTGCTTATTAAGGCCATCGAGAGAAGTCGCAGGAGCTGGCTCGTCAGTGATAGCAATATTCGGGCTGGGATGCAGCATTCCGGGTGAAAGCATGAAGTCTGCGACGGCCGAGTTGGTAATTGAGTGGCAATGGGAAGGAGGGAAGGCGTTCGAGTGAGATAATACAGAGCTGGTGGAGGCGCAGTGACGCCGATTAGTGTATTTGGCTAGCCTTGAGCTTGTCGGAAGCACATAAAGATGGTCTTGACGAGATGAATGCTCCGTGGAGTAGAGACCACTGTCATACGATTCCTGGTTGCGAGAACCCTGTAAGATTGAAGAGAAATAAGACGAGACGGTAAGCAGTTGATTAGTTTGATAAATAAAGGCTTAAACGGTATCTTATTCTAATATTGGCCTTAGTTTAAGCTTTATATACTTGATGTGGTCTGACAAAGTTTTGCCAACTTGGTCGTGTTGTCAGGGTAACTTAATTGGACGTCTATGGTAAAACAAGCCTATTTTCAGCCAACTAGCCCTAGTCTCAGCCACGTCTATCATGTTTCTATCCCTAATACCAAGTAAATGACTTAACATGCCCTAGTTCAGTGGTTTCCAAAATTTTCTTTTTCAATTAAAATTTTACCATAGCGCCCAACCCTAAGTATGAATATTCGTAAGTGAGATATAAAAATAAATAAAACTAGTGTATCTTCACTATTTTTTTTACTTTATTAATATTAAATTAATATTTAATAATTAATGTGATGGATGAGCCTGCAAATCACTACACATTTTCTCAAATTTAAGCTTTTACAATATTTCACGGCGCACAGTTTGGGAATCACTGCCTTAGTTTCTTGTGTGCCAAATGTTGTGGTATTGCTTGGTTTGATTAGATTCAATGTTGAACCTTGTCTCTGACGAGTTTTAGTATGGTGCTAAGAATGGCAAGACTCACTTACGATGCCGGCGAAATGTCTAGGAATGGAAATTATCATGCATATAATGGACTCCGGACTAAAGCGTTCCTTTAAGTCTCCCTACTAATATTACCAAGTTGCGAAAACAAGGTCAAACACCTTCTATACAACGAAAGGAGTCTGCGACCACACAAAGGGCCACAACATCTTGGTCTTCATATCTTATATCAGTTTCTAAGCTCTAACTCATTATTCTCCAGTCAAACAATTCGTTTGAGTATAAAAATAAAGAATAAGTAAAGGAAACATTCCTTCGAATGAATGTCGAAGCCTCACTCTCTTTGTGTTTTTTAGAATTTGAGTCGAAAAATTATTAAAGAAGCACAACTTGAAAGGATAAATATATTCAAATCTGAAGTGGAAGTGGAAGAAAATGGGAAAGACCCTTCAAAGTCGAATATGTAATCGAGTGTCAAAACATAATTGTAAGATAATGGGGAGTGCTGCTTGCATACGGCAAATAGAATTATGGTTTAATCTATACTTAATATACATAGTAATATAATGGTAGAAATAGGCTTAAAAGTGTTAGACGAAGAGTGAATACAAAAATTGTGCCAATCAAAAAGCGACACAAAACAAATCCTTGAAACACTAAGAAACAAAATGCAGCTTCGATGCTGAATGAAAGCATAAAAACGAAAGGCCTATTGGGTGGCCTGTTAGAGGAATATTAAAATATTGCTTCCAAAATTAGTTCAAACTTGCTAAGTATGCTAGTTAAAAATAGCTAAGCAACCCGATCTCACAGTCTAGATTTAATGGCGATTTTCAATAGTCAAAACATAATTATTAAATCAGATACATTTCCAGGATAAATAGATATTCTTCATTTTGGGTTCAGGGATTGTGTCCATAAATGTGCTAGTTAAGTGATGATACGCGGACAACCTAATCAATTATGATTTTAATCAATAGCCTAGTCACTTTTTTCCATACATTCCTTATTAAAACAGCAACAAATCGACTGGCGCATCGGTATCTGCAAATCAGCCATCATAATAATAACTAAATGATAAAGCCTAATATTCATGTCCACACAAGTTAGTTGTAATCCAGATTCTTATTTAGATCTTTGATTAAATAAGTGAGCAGATAAATGCATTCACATAGAAAGCATCGGAGATAACACGAATAGCAGAGTTAAACATTTGAAAAAATCACTCCAGCATAAAAGGTTTCTAGCAGCATCATGAGAAATAATCGCCTAAAAAAATTTATGGGTAGAATGCTTGATAATGGATGAAATGAACATCAACAACTTAGTGTGAAAATGTGAAATTGTCACTGTCCGAACAGATAGCGTGTGGCCAAGTTTAAAAACAAATAAGATTTTAATAATTAATCCTTACATGAAATAAGTGAAAGAACACTGTACGTTCCTTCTTGGTTTAGGTAAGCTAACTAATATGAAAATTCAGCAATATTTGTGTACTCATCAGAATTATTATCTTGTCTAAAATGCGTAAAAAATAAGGTATGAGTCGAAAGAGTTAACTATGGAAGCTCACAGAAAATGCTGTTCATCAATTATAAATCACCTAACAGATTGACGTGAATATTGATACGAAAAATATTAAGATAGGCCATATTTTGGTCGCAAACAATAAAGTCAAATTTATATTAATAGACGATAAGCATAACTTTTTTAATATCTGGCAAATGCATCACCTACTTATATGTACACAATTTGCTAAAAATTAATCGAAATTATTTTGCATAGTATCCTCAACCTTTTATAGTGTCTGTTTCCTTCGGTATCCAGATTTTAATTGCCTATCAGATGAAATAGGAGGAAAGCTTTGAAATATGATAAAATATTTATTACTATTTGTAATCCTCGACATTGCAGGAACATAGGTTTTAACCACTTCTATTTTTACATTTTTGAATCTCGTAAAGATAAAAATTCCATTTGTATAAAAGTAAGTTGACCTCGTTTTGGCAATATAGTCTACCTAAGGAAGGCTGATCCTATATAAGGAAGACAGCATGAATGATGTGAACAAAAGAACCGAAATAAGTGCATTTATATTCTGTATGGACCTGTAAATCGCCAACCTTTAGAGGTCGATTCCGGAATAATCATATTTACGCTCGATTGTCATATTGTAACGCATGACTTGAAAAGCATGTATAAAGAGAAAGGTCAGTCAAAAATACATATAAGAATAAGGGCAATTTGGTGAAGAGATAACTAGCTAGTATAATAAATTGGCTGTAAAAAAACGTCGAGGTAAAGGTTTGAATTGTATGGGTAAAAGGAGAGAAATCAGTCATGGATGACCAAGAAATGCTATCGTTATGAGGAGAGGCTATAAATAGGATAGGGACTATGTATAGGCTATAAATTTTAGGAAACCTAGCTTTAATATAAGACAATTAGTAAGGAAAGTATTAGCCAAATGTGTGGAAAAGTTCATAGCGAGTTGGTCAATGGAGAATAAAAGCTTGTGAAGCAGCAAAATAGTGAAGCAAGAGGCAAACGATGGCCAAGCGAAATTTAATGAGTCTGAGGCAACATGACACTCGATCACATTCTTAAGGAATGGAAGCGAAAATGATGGAAAGTAATAAAACCGAATAAGAGGAAGGAACGAAAGCGATAAAAACCAAATCTTCTATTGCATTCCCCCTATAGCAACGATAAAGAGGGAGAGGAAATGAGCGAAGGTGAAGTTAGCAGGACATAGAATTGAATTGACCTTGTTTTCGCAACTTGCTCTTGTTGCCAGGGCGATTTAGTTGGACGAACCTTGTCCGAAGTCCTCTGTCATGGTAGTTATCTAAGTCCCAGCATCAGACTGTGGACATGGTACATTCCAGACGTTGTGCCGGCATAATCAATTAGTCTTGCCATTCAACGTACCAAACTATAACTTGTCAGAGAGACAAGACGTTTGAGAATGTACCAAGTCTACGGTCTGAGGTTATAAATCATGATAACTACTGTGACAGAGAACTTCGGACAAGGTGCGTCCAACAAAGTCACCCTGACAACAAGACCAAGTTAGAAAACGAGGTAAATCCACTTCTATACAACGAAAAGAGATCGCGATTATACCAAGGGCCACACCATCTTGTTCTTCACATCTTCGAGTAACAGAACATTGTTGCCAAAATCATAGGGACTGGAAAATTTATATAGAGAAGGCATAGTAAAGTTGGATGACGATTCATTTAAATGACTCAGAAGTATACAAACTTTTAGTGAAGGATCCCACAGAGGATATTAAGCTGAAATTTAGAGAATCGCTTAACGTTTGTGTGAGCAGGAGAGAAATTCCAAAGGGACCCCAAGAATGTCTTCGTGCATTTTTTATAAAAAAATAGACAAGCCAGTCAATAATTAAGGAACAATAATGGTTTTCAGATAAACTATGACACTTTCTTTAGTTATGCCTACTTTTAGAGAGAAAGCTGACCTATTATACAGATAGGGATGCTATAAAATGTATTCGTGTGGGAGCTTTTAAGATGAAGAGACTTGTCATCCCATTTGGCAAAGGATGGCTGAGCACAAAAGCGCCTTCAGAAGCAGTTGGGTTTAAAAATCAGAGCTAGCTGAGCACAAGTCAGAAACTGTATACAAGGTAAATAGGTCCCAAACTTCTCGTTTTGCTTATTACGATATGTATGAGGCTAAACGTAAAATTAGAAAAGCCATCGAAATAAACCGAATAGGGAATAAATTAAATGTAAGCAAACTTTTTCTCTCTCACATGAAAACAAAAAACTCATCAACAAACACAAGATGTGTGTCTGACCTTGCGTAATCGGAGTTATGATAGTTCATTGAAACGACACTGACACATACATGCCTTTATTGAGGCTCAGCTATATAATATGGATAAAATAAAGGATCACCTCCAGTTAAATACTATTCCTTACCTCTTCAGACAATCTATCAGACAAGATAATTAATTCAACAAGTATTTCCTAAGAATAATTTGTCTCATTAGGAAGAGGAAAATGCAATCCTCTTTCCAATAAAAGTACTAAACTATCCTCCAGAGTTGTACTAGAATAACGTTCTTTTGCTTAATTGAGTCTGTATAAGAGGTAAGAGAGAGCCGGATACTCTTCTTGCCCTAATGCTATTGTGAGACTTTTACAGGAATGAGACCCAGCTCTGATGACGCCCATCATTTGATGGACGAAAGCTTAACCCGTTTTTACCGGAAACTAGGGAGGAGGTCTTGTGGACTGCGTCAACCTGAACCTCGTATAAAAGCCAAACGGCTGCAGTACAACGAAATTCATCCGTCCTCTTCTGGTGAGATCGGCCTACGAATCTCTTATTCATTTACTTTTATACGAAATAAAAGATCATCATATTATACACGAAAGCTCAGCTCGTTTTTAACGGAGACGAGGGAAGATGTCTCGTTGACTGCATCAATCTGAATGTCGTATTAAAACCAAACGGCTGCAGCTCAACGAGAATCAGCCGTCGTCTTCTTGTGAAATCAGCTTATGAATCTCTTCTTAATACTGATTCATACCTAACGAAAGTCTCCTCAACATTATTGTCTCAGGAGATTCACCGAAACCCGGTTATTCTTCGTATCCCATAGGACAGATAGAATATCAGCAAGTTTGGAGCATGCCTGAGAAGGGCTTCTGCATAACCATCCCAATTTGGTCAAACCACCTCGGAGCAAAG